AGTCTGTGAGAGCGTATGGTTGTTATTGAGAGCGTGTGTGTGTATGTGTCTCTGTGTGTGAATGTGTGTGTGAATGTGTGTGTGAATGTGTGTGTGTGTGTGTGTGTGTGTGTGTGTGTGTGTGTATTGCTATATCTCTCTTGATCTATAGATCTACCTATATTAATATTCAGGTGTAAATGTAGTTGTTAACCGAACTTACCTTACCAAAAAATAATACAACAATAATTCTATTGCCCACTGCTTGGCGGGTTAAAGCTAAAGTAGTTTGATTTCCCTGTTACTGTTTTCTTAGTAGTACCCATTCCCCTATTGATTGTCCCTTAGAACCCACATTGTTGGCCTTTTCCTAAAATATCCCGCTTTTCTGCCTCTTAATAGTAGTATCCATTACCGCTGACATTTATTTTTAGTTCGCCCTTGATAAATGTAGGCCTTAGTTTACGTTATCACACCCCCTCGCAGCTCCGTTCTGATCCAATGTCTGTCTTCCCTACCTCAAGTCTCAAACCATTCTTTTCTATGTATTATACTCCCTTGTACAACTTCTAATCTTCAGTACGTTTGTGACCGAACTGCGTTGCAAGTGCCGTAAAACGCTCAACGAAAACAAAAACAAAAATGTGCAACAACCCCAGCTCCCCCCCCCCCCTTCCTTCCACCCAAACGCGGAGTAACTTCGTCGATTTCACTTCATTCCACCTTTTTGTTATCTGCTGTTTTCTAGTTTGACATGATCACTCGGTAGGAAAACGATGCTAGTCCGATTTTTCTAAATTTTTTTTAAAGGGTCACGCATTGTCATTTTCCCCATGGGAATAGCAATATTAAATATCATACATATTATTATATATAAATAATATGTGTACTGTGTTCCAAAAGTCACACCCGTTATACTACGATAATGTTCACTATAGCGTAAAAATTGTAGCAAAAAATGGAAAAGTATGACTTGTTAGACTTATTGGACTCCCCGTGCATGTGGAGACGAAAGAAATCTTATACCGGAAATAGTATGTGGGCAAAGTGTTGGTATTGTCTTCCCAAGATGTACGTTGACACTGACGCATCTTGCACACAAATATTGCTTTGAATGACACAGGCAATGCAGAAAAACACCGTACACACTATAAAAATAAGTGTTTTTAACATCTGGGTCATTTGTTCCCTTGTTTTCAAAATAACAAAACTGACAAACGCAGAACGAGAAGGCTTTCTGTGTGTGAGAAATTCTGGAACTGCGTTTTCTACTCTTGCAAAACGCGCAAACGTTTAACACTTGAATACGTGTTTTACCACCACTTGATCTGTCCAAGACACGCCAAGACGTGGCTCTAGCACGGGCAATAACTCGACATCTAAATTTGACTTTTGTTAACACCAAGGTTCGAAACCTTTTCAAACTAAGCGCACAGAATGCCAGATACTTCGGATTATCTGAAAACATCATTATTATACAATCACCAGCTCGTAGATTGCATAATTATCACCCTTTATATGGAGCCTTTTTAACTCTGGTTCATCAAAGAAACCAACAAATTTGAGCGCAACTACCTAAGCGATGGAACCAGAGACGTTGGTAAAGTGTTCTATACAGCAATGGTTCAAGTTTTTAATTCGTCGTATTGATGAAAGAAAAAAAATGTTTAAAAAGAGAGGATAGAGATTTCACAAAGCCAACGTCCGTCAAGTGGACCGATTCAGTGGCTGAAGTGTGATGGTGTGGGGTGGTATCTTTGCTCTTTATTGTACATATCGGTCACTATCATTGGCGGTTCGTGGTTTATAGAACTGACCGGCCGTCATTCATATCGATTCTTTCTCCCTCCCCCATCCCCTTCCTTCACAACACACACACA